TTGCAGTTCTTATAAATGTGGAACGTGTCACTTGTATTCCGATTTCCTTTCAGATCTTATTGAAGGACTCCCTACGGCCACTCAGAATAAGAAAAGCGCAGAGAAGACTTCTACTTACAATGGCCAAGTCTGAGGTTAGTATGATGACACGCACATTGGTCAAACGGATTCTGTTATAACAGATTTTACATCCTTCGGTCGCAGTGATTCGAAAATTCTTTAGACGAATGTGGAGTTTCTTTGTCATTACCAAACTTTCCTCGAAATTAGTTTAAAATAGTTTAGGAATGATGTTATTCCAGAAATTATATCCCTAAGGAACTGTGATTAGAAAATTCTCAAGGAACTATGTCCAGGAAACTGGATATTTCACGGACGACTTTAGACGAATATAGAGTTTCTTTTTCATTATCAAGCTATCGTCGAAATTAGCTCCAAATAGCTTGGAAGTGATATTATTTCAGATATTACATCGCTCAGCAATACTGAAAGGAAAATTCTTAGGGACTTAGTCCGGGAAACTGAACTTTAAACGAAGTGCTATATACGAATATGAAACTTCTTTGTCATTATCAAACGTTCATCGAAATTAGACCCAAATAGCTTGGAAGCGAATGTTATTCCAGATATTATACACTCAGGAATAATGATTGGAAAATTTCCAAAGAACTATGTCCAGGAAACTGAACATTAGAAGGGATTTAGACGAATATAGAGCTTGTTTATCATTTCCAAGTTATTGTAGAAATTAGCTCCAAATAGCTTCGGGACGCTGTTGTTCCAGACATTACATTCCTCAGGAATAGTGATTGAAAAATTCTTAAGAACTTGTTCCAAAAAACCAAACATTGGACGAACTGCTTTAGACGAATGTCAAGCCTCATTGTAATTACCAAACTTTCGTCTTGGCAGAAATGTTATTCCAGAGTTCACATCTTTAAGGAACTCTGGTCAAAAAATTCTTAGGAACTCAGTTCATTGGACGAACAGCTTTAGACGAATGTGAAACTTCTTTGTCATTATCAAACTTTTGTTAAATATAGCTGCAAATAACTTGGGAGCGATGTTGTTCCAGGTATTACAACCCTCAGGAATATTGATTGGAAATTCATTGGAATTTATTCCTGGAAACCGAAAATTGGACGAACTGCTTTAGACAAATGTGAAGTTTATTTGTCATTACCAAACATCCTTACACCTTAAGAAACTCTGATTAGAAAATTCTTAGGAATTTAGTACAGAAAACTGTAAATTGAAAGAACTGCTTTAGACTAATGTGGAGCTTCTTTGTCATGATCAAGTTTTCATCGAAATTGAACCCAAATAGCATTTGAGCGATATTAATCGAGATATTACAATCCTCAGAAACACTGATTGGGAAATTCTTAAAACAATTCGGACGATAATACCATCATAGAGCATTATATGAAGGTTTTCTCGCCAACATTTTCCATGACATGGAGTACACACAAGATAACGCGCACAACTCTACAACATTGGACGAAAAGTTTCCGAAAAATGTAGAACTTTCTTGTCATAACGAAGCTTTTGTCCAATGTAATTCCAGATTTTACTCCTCAGGATCTTAGATAAAAAATTCTAAGGAGCTACCTCCAGGAAACTGAGTAACAAAATCTTGGACAATAATAGCTTTATAGAGCACTACATAAGGTTCATCCCATGAACAAAGCAGAGTTTCTGAAAATCGGGCGATTGTAACTTCATTTTCTTTTCGCCAACATTTTCCCATATAAAGTAGTGTACAACAAGCCTGATATTTTTATATGGAAAGTTCATCAGACTCCTCATCGTTTTTTTGGCTGAAATAAGAAGTCGTGAGTTCAGTTCGAATATTTTAAAATACCTTTCATTAGGGAGTCTGAGAATGAGGAGAAGTTAGTTAAATACATTTACAGAAGATCAGCAGCGTTTAACTAAAAATGTGGTCTATTAGTACTCAACATTTCCTCAATACAATGTAAAGTATTTCAAATAATAAGTCAAATCAATACTGTCTTTAAAAGAGTGAAGGTAAATAGATTTTTAACTTTACAAGCTTAATGTGTTTTTGTGTATTCAACAAGTTGATTGTCGATCTGTTTACAAGGGGCAAATATATGTCAAACATATACATATGTATATCTACATACGTATTTTATACGGCTAGCAGATACTTGCATGTGCATTATATATTATATTCAGTAATTACAATTGAATACAATTATTCGGGTTTTAGACGATTATTTCGAGAAAATCGAAATTTTTGCTGGAAATTTGCCTAAAATTGCTTGAAACTTCAAAAAACCCGTTTAAATCAAATAAGGAACTTATTTTGTTATCACCCAATTTATTCTTCAAAAATTAATTAACCGATTATACCACGGTTATGCAATCGAATACCCTAGTAAATACATTTAACATTGAGAAAATTGTATTACAATTGATTAAATCGTTTTTGTTTAGGTTTGTTCATAGAATAGTAATTGTTCATTGGAATTACGTATTTTGAACAACGTGTTCAATAGAATGAAGAGAATGTACCTCTCAACTATTTAAATAAAAAAATTATTATATTTACATTAGTTTTATTTTAATTAACAAGTACAGTGTTAATTTAAATAAAACAAAATTACAAATAAATATGTGTTAATAAACTAGTTTGAAACATTTTAATTCGAAACTTTTGAAATGCTGATACGCCCTCAAATGCGATTCAGAACTTAAGCAATTACTAGAAGTAATTATGGAGGATTTTGTTCTGGAGACTGCTAACTTGGATGTGAGTGGTTTTCAGTTTATTTCAAACTTGGATTTTTAATCCTTGAATTAGCTAAGATTCTCTATACTCTTTCGTTCCACTGTTTCACTGCTTGTCGTTTTCCATTTAGATACTACTAGCTTATGAACTCATCGTTCTTTCCTTTATAAATCTCGAGGTATCGACTAAGATTCTCAACTTGATAACAATAACTTTGATCTCATATATACATATGGATTCGGAGAAATGAAAATTACAACCGAAGATATATATGAGTTGGCGATTTGGTTTTCTTAAGAAACATTTGATAAACGTATATTGTATTATTCTCCTGCGAAATTGCATGGTATTAAAGCATTCGGATTAGTGTGGCCTCCGGTAGGTTAGTGTTCTAGTCTGCTAGACCGGAGGTGGTGGGTTTATTTCCTACCTGAGGCACTGATTAAGGAGCTCACAACAGGAACGATAGAGGCCAGTCGAGAATAGGTGTATTTCTTCGGATTTGATGTATATACATCCTCCTTTAAAACTAACTAAATAACTACAGTTTTTGGATAGCGAAAAGGTTATGAGATCTTCTAAGGGTAGTTGTCTGGTGGTAAGTGCTTGAAAAAGCTTTATACAGACAGCATCTTGAAAAGCTTTTGAGATCTTTTGCCCTTCTCATTAACAGTGCCCTTAGAACAACTCCCTAAAAGACGTTGTTTATTATGCTCAACTGGCTTCCAACCAAATAACTATGTATATCCACGATGGCCGAAGCTTAGTAGGCAAGAGGATCTTCTACCGAGATCCCAGTACACTGTTGATTATTGTATCCCGGAACCATCTCTAATGAGACAGGTATTTCCAAGACAACGAAAGGTGTTGATGGTGACATCTTCATTGAAGAAGTTGGGTCTGAAATCTCTTTTAAATTCAATGATGACAATAGTATTCCTTAAGTCTTAAATATCAGCGATTGAGAGGTCGTCAAATTGTCTAAGATACTATCGGTTATCGAGCAGGTATATCAGACTAAATACTAATATTCAAGCTGCTATTAAATCTCTTATTGGTATCTTTTCCACATCTAGCCGGACGTCTCTCAATGAGATGACGAGATAATCAAACATTACCCTTATATGGTTCAAGAGACACGGGTCTACATATGACAATAATATGTCCGACACTATGGCTAGAGCTTGAAGACAGATCATAGATATCAATTATTCCCATGCTCAAAATCGTGATTACACTTGCTCTATCACAAGAGTGTTGTGGCCTCATGTGAACTCACATGAAACTGCCTATCACCTTCGTCTTCATAGATTAAAAAATAGATAATGTGGTATCGGTCATCACTGGTCATCTCATCGGATCATTTGGTAATATGATAGGCGCATAAGTCTTCCATATATAGGGACTTATTAAAGAGTTGTAAGACTGAGGACGAAGAGGAGCCCATCGTCTATGTAACTGTCTAGAGGCCTAATTTAAATTTCAAATAAAATTTTTAAAAATTCTATTCATGTTCCGATATTCCAGTTATGAAAACGGAACGAAACCTAACTCTAGCATTAACCTATTTCAATGACCTATCTGATCTGTCAAGTTTTTATTTAGAACGACTAATTACAGTTTTTAATATGTCCATAATGGGTGTGAACTTCAAATTCTCACTAGGCTGGACGTAATCTGTAAACGTTCATCTCTATTCAGCGACTATTCACTATCCTTTCTTTCTGCCTCTTCTATTTCTCTTTCCATTATCTCAATTTTTCTTTTTCTTACAGGTATTTTTAAAAAGGGATCAACGTTGGACCAAAGTCATGCTGCATCTCAGTTGTTCGATGCTCAGAGATCTGTTAAAACCTAACCTAATCCATATAATATTAAATAAAATAGATTATTCCATTGAACAGTTTATAGACTATTCAATAGACTTGTTAATGGAATAGTTCAAAAACTAGTCAATAGACGTGGCAATAATTTAGCCCTAAACAAGTGAACAGATTATTCTACTTCATCAAAAAAGATAACCTTAGGGAAAAATTCTTAAAACTTATTGGAAATACCAAAATGCGATGGGTATACTTTGAATGTTTTTCTTTTAGTAATTTTTTTACTTAAATCCTGTGCACTTTTTCAAAATAGAAAAATGTGTGATATGAAATGCAAATTAATGATGAAATATAAGTGACAAATTTGTTAATTAAATTTACAATGTATAAAAAGCTCTTAAAAATATGCAAAAACTTACCTTAGTGATATTAAATGCTGTGTCCTGTTATCGAATTTATAAAAAACACTATACATGGAGAAATTTGCAAATAACCGTTAATCATGCACAAACAAACGGTCGCCAAACACACATTAATTAATAAAAAACTAAGATTAATGAGACGATGATGATGATGATGCTGCTGCTATTGAAGAATACACTGAGAACAAAAACAAGAAGGAGTAAGAAAAAAGCCAAAACAAGTTATAAGTTTTTTTCTTTTATTTTTAAAAATTAGTTAGTTGCTGTTGTAGTTTGTTGTTTTTTTTTTTTTTTTTCTACGATTTTCTTTAATTTATTATATATATGGTAAGAAGAAGAAGCAGTACAAAATAAAACGTAAGTTAAAAGATGGTGACAAAAACAAAAGCACACGCAAGCAAACACATTCACCACAAACACTCTCTGTTATAGAATATATTCAATGGCATCAATAGAACCAGTTCAACTGGGTCTTCCACAATTGAATTTTATTTTAATTGAAATTTTTTTTAATTTAAATGACACTTATTTTATTTGTTTAAAAGTTATAAATAACTATTTTGTTTTTTTATTATTACTTTTGGTGTTATTATTGTTTATCTTAATGGTTGTTGTTTTTTAACATGAAATACATTTTTGCACATTTTTTAGTTATTTTTATTTTCATAAATTGTTTAATTAGTTGAAATGTTTATCATAGTTATTGCTTATACTTTTAATTATAAAAAGTTTTTATTATAGCTACTGTTTTTTGCATAACAATTTCTTTTATAATGATTTAATAATTAAGGCAGTTTACTACTTGTTGTGGTTGGTTGTTTTCAAAAGGAGTATTATTACCGGTTTCTTGCAATTGCCAGTGATGACTACTGTTTAAGCTTAAATTGTCTTCCTTTAACACCGACAACAACAACAACTACTACAATAATATCAACAGCTTCTTTTTCTACCTCGTCTTCCTCTTCCACAATACATTGAGAAGAAATTTTAGTGGCTGTTTGGCAGACTGGCTACTTGTCTTGAGCAGTTGCCACAAACAACACAGCATCATGTCTTTAATACAGACACACACATACACACTTACTCTATACCACCACCACCTTTAACACTTCTCAGCCTAAACATCTAACCAACCCATCCACTTCGTTTCTGGCTTTGGACACAATTTGTGTATGTAAAAAAAATCACCAAACAAGAGACATTGTTGGTAGAGTCAGCAGTGTTAGCTGCTGCTGCAAAAGCAGTTTTTTCTTACTCTATTGTTGTTCTTGGTTTTGGTTACATTCCAAGTTAAGCTTGTTACCACAAGTTTTTTTCTTATCTACTTCGTATTGTTTAAATTAATGGCCGAAAGTTAACTTAAACTACAACAGCAACAACAAAATCACTTTGAATATATTTCTTTTTTAGCCTAAATTCTCGACAAATTTTTTTTTTCATTTGAACGTGTCTTTTTCTTTAAACCATTTTATACTATAAATTTCATTTTTTATTTACATTTTAATTTGTTGTTTAGTTTATAATATCTTTTGTTAACTTTTCGTTTTTATTTTTTTAATTACACACGCGTTTTAAGTTTAAGCATAAACTACAAATAACATCTTTTCTTTTGAAAATCCAATTTAAAACTAAATGAAAAAAGCAAATAAGAAAATTGCTTTTTTGTTATTTTCTTGTTTTGCTTTTTGTCACGTATTCGCAATGTAAAACAGGGTTGTTGTCAATGTAAACACAAAGCCTAGAAAATACAACTCTAATCTAACAGAGTGTTTCATATAAAGGCAAATAAAGTAACAAATGGTGCATATATATTTAAATGTTTATAACACAAGGAATAAAGTGGAAAAGAAACAAAAATAACGGTAATATTGAAAAAATTTCATAGAATTGAAATACAAAATTAATAAAAAAAATAAAGACAAGCATTCTAAATGGCGAAAAAAAGAAAAATTAAATAAAGAGTAGACAATTTATAAGCAAATTAATATGTATTTGTAAATTAGAAATATTTTTGTTATTTTATCCAAAAACAAGCAAAAAAATGCCGCACCTCCAGAAATCAACAAAAATTTGGAAGAAATGATTTCCAAATCAAATATTGGGTAAACAAATATACTAAAAATGGTTGTTTTTCTATGATGATTTGCAATAGCCGATTGCAACTCTCTTTGCAAAATTTCATCATACACTCACTCACTACCCATTTTAAATATTTATTTACACAATTACATGTGTTTAATATTAAAATTTTTGCCATAAACCTATTGGTACACGTGATTTTAAGTATTCGCAAAACAAAAATGTTTAACAACAAACAATAACCCCTCTACTAACACAAATTAACGAAAATACATCAACACAACGTAAACATGCGCTTAAACGTCAGACATTGAGATAAATTTTGAATTTTTACACACATGTACAACAACTATTGACAAGAATATAAACTGTATTCTTTTTATTTAATTTTTACTCCCCACTAATACGAGTCGTTTATCTCTAAGAGAAAGAATAATATAAAAACAAAAAATTTAAACGAAATGTTAAAAAAAAAGAATAACAAAACAACAAATATTAATTTTCCGCTTGTTCAGGTTACAGTGTGTAAGAAAATAAGTAAATACTTTTTAAATACTACATATTTAAAGTTATTTGTAGTAAAAAAAACACGAGTTCGTGCCGGGAATCGAACTTGCTATAGCCCCAATGATAGATTAAAAGTTCTTTTATTATTGTAGATTTGCCGTAGAATTGTTTTGACATAAAATTTCCCGATAACTTGTCTTCATTGCAGATATTGCAGGAACTTAATTTGAGCTTATAAACTTCGAAATGCCAAGATGAAAGGAGATGATAATACTATTGGGCTTCAGTCCAATTCAACAATTCCTTTCCAATGTTGACCGATTGTCTGTAAAATACAAGATCCATATTTCGCGGGTTGATACACTTTTTTCTATTTTTGCTGTAAAACTCATTGCTCATAGATAGATAGATAGATAGATAGATAGATAGATAGATAGATAGAAAGATAGATAGATAGATAGATAGATAGATAGATAGATAGATAGATAGATAGATAGATAGATAGATAGATAGATAGATAGATAGATAGATAGATAGATAGATAGATAGATAGATAGATAGATAGATAGATAGATAGATAGATAGATAGATAGATAGATAGATAGATAGATAGATAGATAGATAGATAGATAGATAGATAGATAGATAGATAGATAGATAGATAGATAGATAGATAGATAGATTAGATAGATAGATAGATAGATAGATAGCAGTGTCCAGTGTTAATCGCTTCGGGACGATTAAGTTCGCTTAGGTACTTTAGCAATAGTTGCAACAACATTCAATTACTTTTGCCCTCCACTGTTCTACACTAGCAGTAGCTGAGAACTACTACTATGTGGAAATTATGCCGCTAGCAAATGGCTGAAATCTAAATATAAAAATAAAATACAACAAAAAAATTTTCGTAGAGTATTCTTTGATTTTATTCTTTGCAGGCGAATTTTTTGTTCGACGTCTGTCGTTAATACGTTTCTTTAAACTCTGTGTTGTAGATTTTGCTCTCGTGGTCGGACGTGTGTGTTGCGCTGTAAATTCGTTGCCAAATATATTATTTTTTTTAAGTTTAAGACAAAAACAAAAAAATCTTATTTAGAGCTGCTGCGCTGCGGTTGGCTAATAATATACTAAATAATTATTTAAGAAGAATAAAACAAAGTAATTTATTTTGCAATTTTAAATTTAAAACATGTAATAAACAAAATTTAACTAACAAAGTTTTTCGAGTGTAAGAGTTAAAAAAAGGAAGAGAAATAACAGTAACAGGATGAGCAAGAAAAAAAAGGGTTAAAAAAAAGCAACACCCGGGGGGTCGTTGTTATCATTACTTAATGGTGTTTTTAGTGCTAATTGTTTACTTTTAAATTAAAAAAAAATAATTAAAACCAACGAGTGCAAATATATTTTTGAAAGAAAATTCAAAATTATTTAATGAAATCTTTAGAATTTTTGTGTGAAATTATTCATAGTGTGTGTGTCTGATTGCGTAGATTCTATTTTTTGTTGTTTTTTTTTTTTTTTTTTTTTGGTTCAACTTTTTGCTGCTATAAAATTTGTGTTTATTTTTGGAGCTCCTAGACCGTGCGGGGTTTTTCATTTATATTTTCCTTTTTCCATCTTTTCATTTCATCTCTCATTTGTCTATGCTCTCTTTTATCTTTTCGCTATTTTCTTAATGCATTTTCTTATCTTAAACGAAATAGGAAAATGCACTCACACACCGAGATACTTTCTATGTAAACAAAGTAGAAGTACAAAAGAAAAGTTAAACAACTTTACAACAACAAAATACCGCTAGAAAATTGTGCATAGGTACATAATTTCGAAAAAAAAAGTTTGTTTTTCTTAAAGAAAATATGTATTGTGTAAATTAAAGAGCAAATTTGGTCATATTTTTATGGATTATGTAATATTAGCAACAAAAAAAGAAAAATTTTGTTAAAAATATTGAAGTGATTGATCTTTATACTTGTGTGTTTTTGTGTATATTTTTATAACACAGAGCTTTAAAAGATTTAATTCCTTAAATCATGTAAAACACAATTTCTGCGTTTACCGGTGCAGTTTTTATCTAATGAATAATAAAGTACTATACTACTTAATCTGAAGATAGACTTTTTTGTTTCTAAAAGATCTTATTAATTTTTCTAATCATACATTTTCGTTACGATCAATCAGCGATAATAACAGTTTGAGATTTAAAAGTTTTGAATTAAAAACAAATAACTTGATTTCTGTTTAGTAGCTTGGTAAGTTTTCGTTATTGTTTGAATCTTTGAGTTTTCTATTCTCTCACCTTTTCTCTTTTCTTTTGTTATTTGTATCCCTCACTTAGTTATGAAAAGATTTCTAGCATCAATTATTCTAAAACCCGACTTTAAAGAGATAGTTGATGGTCAATAACCTTTTGAAAATAATTTGGCCCCTTATTGTGGGTTCCTACTTAATATTGGCTAATAAGAATTTGACATATTTAAAGGAGATAACTGTAGTTTGGATCATGTTATTTTGGTGAACTTCCGCCTTTTTTACATCTAGTTTCGTCGAAAACTTGTCAAAGACAGAGAAAGAGTTCCAGCACTTCCACTGTTCTATCCCTATTTTGTGTATTTGTACTAGTAAACTTATGAATCCACTATGAATATGTACCATCATACTACTCTTGGACTTATTCCTTTTCAGCAGGTTTCTAGTTCAACTCTTGTGGATTTTCGTGTTACATGCTGTTCCTTTATTCCAAGTTGTCTTATATAATAGTTATTTTTTTCGTCAGGTAAACTTCCTCAAGCTCACTTTTATAACAAATACATTAGTTCTTTCATCGAAGGTAATCCGCGACTGGCGTGTTACCCATATGATGATGGAAGAGTATTCAGTTTAGGTTCTTTTACTGTCCAATACGGTCTGATAATTAAACTGACCAGTTTGCATATAAATAGGTGTTGATATTGCCTTAAATTTAACGCCCCCTAAAACTGCTGAGATTCTATAAATAAATAAAGTTTTTATCTAGTTCCACAGGTACCAATTGTTTTTAGGAAAGTATAGTGTTCTGGTGTACACTCTTCGGGAATCAAGTTGTGGCCTTGATTGAAACCAGATGGTTGGGCTACCAAATGTGCCTCTCAGTCCTGTTGCTAACCAACAGATGTTACCTCAAAGATGTGTATGATTTTGTACGGTCGATGAAGGTGGTGTTTCTTCACACCCTCATAAAGAGTTCGATGGTTTGAGTTATGATAGAAACCTCAGCACTTCCAAGCTGTTAAGGTTACTGGCGACATGTTGCAGTCCTCCGAGAAGCCAATAATTGTCTATTCAGTTTAGATTTAGCTGGGTCACTGCGTCACAGAGTTTAGATAGATCGCGTTATCGTCTACTTAGTTAAGAATTTTGGACAGCATGATTGTCTTTGTAAAAGTTTTACTGTTTCCGAGAGTGTATTCGCGTAGACTCAATGGCTTCGCGAATACATGTGGAGGAATTCACTGAAATTGTTGGGTGTCCCGGTATCTCCTACCCGTTCGTAGTAGTAGGGGAGTGTCTCTTCCAGGTCGGATTGTGAGTTAAACGTTTGGTATTTGTTTTTCATTCCGTGGATGATCGTTATACTAATATAACTTGGTAATTTTGCCATCTCAACGAGTTGTTGTATAGTGACATGATACGCGACTGTGATTGAAGTTTAATTCTGTTCTACTGAGGTTGCGCAGTCTTTAAAAAGTTAAGGAATGTTCTTCATTGAGTGTTATGGAGGCTGGGGACGCTGATCTTAACAGAGGCATAAGTGGTACATTGTAGGGATTCGAGGAAATTCCGCTCTATTTACACAATAATGAGGCAACTATGACAAATGATTAGATAGCTCGAGTACTAGAACAAAGTGCTTGCTATGATGCTATATTTAGCCTGAGATTTATACTTTAGGTCGCTCAGTGGCAAGTGGTTCTCCGTCACTAGTTAACTCAGTGGATGGAATAAGCTACCGTGAGATTCGGCAATTATGGCAGGTAGTCACTTTAAGCATTTGGTCTATTTGTCTCCTAGATTCAGAAGAGGGGAAATATTAGGTTCCAAAAACTTCAATATCAAATGCACTCTATAAAACAATAATAATGTGTTAATAAAAGAGCAATAAGAACTTTGTTAAGATAAACTGGGTCAAGATTTAATTTAGATAAGACTAAAGTAATATGAATATTTAGACAATCTTTCAGATTATTATTTGCGTATTATATAGATAATTAACAAAACAAATATTTATCATTTTCCTTTTCATTATTCTTTTACAGTTACGAACGCACAAGCAAACAAAAACAAACTTGCATAGAATTAACAAAAAACACAATCGATCAACATGGATCCCGAAGCATTTTTAGATATGGCCAATCAGGTCATTAAATTGAAAATGTTTCCATATTTCGATATCGCACACAGTCTATTAGCCGCCCTAGCAGTACGTGAAGATTTGGGAACAAATGCTCAGGCTTTCTCACGTAAACATCCTTTAGCCTGTTGGTTGTCGACAATGTTGGTGATATTTTCTGGAGCTATGGTAGCTAATGGTTTATTGGGCGAGCCCATATTGTCGCCCTTGAAAAATACACCACAATTAATGGTGGGCACAGTGGTATGGTACGTTGTCTTTAAACTATAGTTATTGATATGATTGTTAATGAAGGAAATGTTTTGCAGGTACATGGTGTTTTATACCCCCTTCGATATTGGTTATAAAGTTGCCAAATTTTTACCCATTAAACTGGTGGCCAGTGCTATGAAAGAAATCTATCGTGCTAAGAAAGTCTATGATGGTGTCTCACATGCTGCCAAATTGTATCCTAATGCCTGGATTATCATGATTATTATAGGTACTTTGAAGGGTAATGGTGCTGGTTTTACAAAATTATTCGAACGTTTAATACGCGGTGCCTGGACTCCTACGGCCATGGAATTTATGCAGCCCTCATTGTAAGTGTTTCTTTAAAAGAGTAAAAGGAATTTAAGGAATTTATTTGTTTTTTTATTTTTATTTGTACAGCTATACAAAGGCTTCCCTTTTGGCTTCCATCATCTTTGTTTTGGATAAGAAAACTGATTGGATTTCTGCTCCTCATGCCTTGGTCTACTTTGGCATTGTTATCTTTATGGTGTACTTCAAGTTGTCATCCATTTTATTGGGCATACACGATCCCTTCTTGCCTTTCGAAAACTTGTGTTGTGCCATTTTCTTTGGCGGCATTTGGGATAGTTTGGCTAAGATTTTGGGCCGCGGCCAAGCCAAAGAAGGCGAGGGCAAAGATGTTAAGAAGAGCAACTAAAAGACTTGCAATACTCAGTAAATTTATAATGTTATAAACAGAAGATCCTAACGAAAACGAAGTCGATTTGAATTTAAAACATGTTTTAATTTTTCAACAAAAAAACGAAAACGAAATGCAACACAAAGAGACCTATCCTAAGCCAAACCCAAACCCAAACCAGACAACACTCATTTAACGGCTACAAAACGAATTTTTGAAGAAAACCTTAAACATTTGGCCATTTGTTTTCCTTTTTTTTTATAAATCAACAAGAATTTATTTACTTTTTTAAAAAACTAGTCATTGCCTAAGTTTTATTTAAAAGTCTTACTCATTATTTAGTAACCCAGTGGGTGGGTGTTTATTAAATAATGACTTAAAGACTTTTTTTAAATTTAAACCTTTTTTATTTTATATTTTTTTTTTTTTCTACAACAATTGCAATTTATTAAATACGCACACAGTAATTGCTATTTACAAACAAAATAATAATATTTTAACAATTAATAACTTTTACAAACAACAACAACAACATACCAGTTGTATCATTAACCAGCGTATCATTTTATCTAATCAAATTTTGAATAAACATTGACTTGTAATGAAACATACAAATCTAAAGCCAAATATTTAAAAATAATGTTATTTAAATGAAATGTTATGTTATAAACAAATTATTTCTAAAATTAAAAATTACGTTTTTTTAAAATTAGATTTTAAGTAATGTTTTTTTTAATGATCATGATATCAAAAGTTAGAGTGCAATGTATTTGTATGTAATTGTGAATTATAATTTTAATTGTATGATACTTTTAAGAATGAGCAAAACAAAACAAAAACAAAAATAAAACAAACCAACAACACCTTTTTTGAGATACAAAAATAAATGTGGTATTTTGATTCAATTCTAGGACTTAAAAGTTGTTGGAAGTTCTCCCTCGGAAAAAAACTTTCGATTGATACAGCTGTTTGCTGTGTCGTTAAGAAATCGGAACGTTTTGGAGCGGTTTGACGGTTGGAATATATGTTGAATGTAGCCTAGATTGTGAAAGATATGCTTCTTTATTGAAAAGAAGTACTGAAGTGTGTGAGTGCTTTACAAATTGGTTAAGAATTTCCTCAAAAGGAATACTTCTTATTTAAAATTCTACTTGAGATGTGTTTCTCAATTTTATCGACAATCTACTAGTCAGGCAATTCACTATTTCTATTTTCACTAGATATTTCATTAAAAATGTATAATTTCCAAGACTCCGGAAGGACTCGAGTCATAGTCAGCCAGCAACAACTGTAAGAAACCAGAGTCCTTTCCCCTTCGTAGAGAACTTTAATTGAAAAATGTTGTTTTTTGGAAGAAAATTAGGATTTTTTAAGAAAATACTGGTTTTTAGAGAAAGACGAATCCAGCAACAACTGTAAGGAACGAGAGTTTTATTCACCTTGGGAGATAACTATCGGCCGAAGTCTAACTGTTAATTTAGGTTAGCGAGTAGTCCTTGTGTTTCTCGTTAAGAGATGCCCGGCATTCCAGGATAAATGTCGTAGAAACACCATTATATCACTTAATACTGTTTTTTTCTTTCTAAAAATTGTGTAAAAATATTTTTTGTTCAAAAAAATAGGTTTTTGAAGAAAATATGGTTCTTGAAAAAAATACTGGTTTTTGAAAAAATACTGGTTTTTACAAAATTACTAGTTTTATTAAAAAAATAGTACATAGTTTATTGAAAAATTTTGTTTTTTGGTGAAAATTAAGATTTTTGTTAAAAAATGCTGGTTTTCAGAGAAAGTTGAAGAAAAAATACTGCTTCCAGAATATGCTGATATTAAGTGAAAATATTATTTTTTGTAAAAAAGTACTGTTTATAAAAAAATATTTTGGATAAATTTTTTTTTATAAAAATGCAGGTTTTTCTAAAATTTTTTTGCAAATCTTAGTTTTTGGTTTAAAAATTTAATTTTTAATGAAAATAATGTTTTTTTGGAAAAATACCGGGTTCTATATAAAAATAGTATATTTTTTAACAGAATTTTCCATTTATTTTAGTTAAGGAAATACTGATTTTTAATAAAAATAGTGGCTTATTACTACTGTTTTTTTTTTGCAAAATAAAGATTTTTTAGAAAATACTGGTTTTTAGAATTTTTTGTTTGGTGAAATATTTTTTTAGAAAATACTGGTTTTCGATTTGTTTTAGTGGAATAAACAGTTTATTTGGTGGTTTTTAACAAAAAATATTTTTTATTTAAAAAATTGTGTTTTATTAAAAAATAATGAATGGTTTATTAAAAAATACAATTTTTTTGGTAAAATAGTTTTTTTTAGAAAATACTGGTTTTTAGAGAATGTTTAGGAAAAACGGTTTAAACACTAGTTTTTGGTGAAAAACTTTTTTTTTAAGAAAATACTGGCGATCAATTAAAAATATTGCTTTGGTATCTACAATACTGGTTCTTAGAGAATAATACTGGTAAATATGCTTGTTTTTGGTGAAAACACTTTTTAATTAATTGTTCTAAAAATAACAGCTTTTGGCAATATAATTGTTTGTTGTTTGAAATTGGTTTTGATTTTGGGAAAACATTGTTTTTTTAAATAGGGGTTTTTGGAGAAAATATTGGTTTTTGCAAAAACACCAGTTTTTATTAAAAAATAGTGGTTTATTGAAAAATTAATTTTTTTTGGTGAAAATAAAGATTTAAAAAAAAATACTGGTTTTTAGAGAATGTTTAAGACGAAACTTCGATAAAAAAATACTGGTTCCTCAAGAATATGCTGATATATAGTTAAAATACTGTTTCTGATATAAAAAATAATATTTTGGATAAAAAATAGTATTTTTGTAAGAAATACTGGTTTTTGTAAAAATTGTAATTGCACACAAAAACATGGATTTTTGATGAAAAAAATGGTTTTTGGTGTAAAATGTAGGTTTATATATAAAAATGCGTCCTGCTTTCTAAAAATCTGATTTTATATAAAAATAATTTTGATTTTTTTTTTTTTTTTTTGATGTAAACATTTTTTTTTAACTGTTTTAAGAAAATACCGGTTTTTAATAACAAATAATGTTTTGGTATGTAAAATACTGGTTCTTTTCTTTAATGATTTTCAGTAAAAGTATGGTTTTTGGTAAAATATACCAAATTTTCGATAAATATAGCGGTTTTTTTTGGTGAAAATACTTTTTAATAAAAATAAAGATTTTAGTTCTAAAAATAACAGCTATTGGCAAATATTAAAAAATTTTTAAATTTTAATTTTTGAAAAAATACTGTTTTTTTTACAAAATCGGGTTTTCGGCAAAAAAATTTAGGAATATGCATTTTTTTAAGAAAATACTGTTTTTTAATAAAAAAAAAAGAAGAACGTTTAGTTTATAGGAGAAAATATGAAGTTTTGATTAAAATACTTGTTTTTATAGAAAAATCTGCTTTGATAGAAAAAAATTGTTATTTAAAAAGCTATTTTTGATGTAAATAAAGCCTTTTAATGGAAAATATTGTTTTTAAAGAACATTAGTACAAATTTTATAAAAAAAAAAAATATTTTTTTATAAAAAATACTGGTTCTTACGGAAAAAATTTTTTAATATTGGTAAGAGTTTTTTTTTAATGAAAATTCTGGTTTTAGGTGAAAATACGTATATCTAGAAAAATTCTTTTTTTGGTGTAAAATTCTTTGTAGAAATAAAGTTTTTTATTATAAGTGATGTTTTAATAAAAAAATACTGGTTTTTCGAATAATACTGTTTTTGAAAATACTGGTTTTTCGAAAAATACTGTTTTATCTAAAAAATACTTTTTAAAAAACAGTTTTTTAATACTGATTTTTCGAAAAACAAAGTTTTTTCCTAAAAATACCATTTTATAGTAATAGTACTAGTTCTTGGTAAACATTTTTGTTTTACGAAAATACTGGTTTCTAATTCGGATTTTATCTATTGATCTGTTAATTACAAGTTTGAAGAAATGCCTCTTTATCCCGTTTCATTCTACATATTTATGTTAAGTTAGATCGAAATTTATTAGATTTTTCAGTGATGTATATTCTTTTTTGCCATTATTGTTTGTTATTTTAGTAAAAATTTAACATTTTCTGAGAAAACTTTCTGTTTAGGAAAAAATATTTAGTTAAAACTTACCTTACTATCAGGAGACATGACTTATAGGCAGTCAAACAGGATCTGCTGGTATAACGAATTCATTAGCAAATTTTCTCGAAAATATACAAGGTGAATAAGATTCAGTGATAAACGTTGAACAGTTTAGACATATTTCTCATACTCCGTAGTTATAACTGAAAAATAAAAAAAGTTTCTCTTTAAAAAAAATTTTCTTTTTTAAATAAGAAATTTCTAATAGCTTACCTTTAACTAAAGAAATTCATTTTATAAAACAAGATTCTCTTATGTACATTACCCTTCATTAATTTTAAAATTTATAAACAATTCTTTAAAATATTTATTTTCTTTTTCAAGGTTTTCTTTTTGTAAACCTAAAATTCAAGCAAATATTTTTTATTCATTTCTTTTCTGTGAGTGTTTTTTACTTTTATATGTAAAATATATATATTTATGTATTTTCTTGCTTTTGTTTTATAATTAGTAAGTTATTATTATAAGTTATGTCTTTTTTTTTTTTTGTTCTGAAAATATTTTCATAATTTAATGTTAAATACAGTGTGTGTTATAATAATTTTATATTTTTGTATATTGATCGGTAGTTTTGCAAAATTTTATTAAATTAATAATATGTTTAAATTATTACTTATAAGTTGTGTTAAATATTATTTGTCCGTTTTAGTTTTTAAATTTATTTTAAAAATTATAATTATAATAATGATTAAACATATTCATAAGGTACATGAAGACATACAATTGAATGTATGTATATAAAAAAATATATATAAATATGTATATATAAAAAATATGTATAAAATATAGACAAATATAACAAAAATATAATAATAAATAAATTATATATATAAAAGAAAAATTAAGTAAATTTTAGAGAGAAAAATAAATAAAAAAGAGAGCCCAAAAGAGATTCAAATTAATACTCAATAACTTAGTAACAAGAGATTTTTGTTAAAGATTTTGAAACTTTATAAAGGAGATCCGTTTTAGACAGAAATTCGAGGAGGTATTAATAAATTTTTAATAGAGAAAATAAAAATTAAATAATACACATGGAATGCTAAATTTCGTTAAAGGTAAACACAGTTATAACATATTCTAAAACTTCTTAAACTAAAAAAAATAATAATAAATTTAACTATTTAAAAAGAATTACCATATTTTCTCTCTTACTAGAGAAATATTCTGAATAGTTCATATTTTACATTAATAAACTAACAACTACAACTACTACATACTTTACATTATGAAGAGACGAACTCTTCTCATCTTCTTTATAAATTATTCTTATTATTGTTTTCATTTCATCATTAGATATTTGTGCTCAGCTATGTGGCAGTTGTTGTACTACTTGTATTTAAATTATTGCTGCTGCCGCTACCCAATAAATTGAGTAATTTTTGCCGTGTCCTTTTATCACTTACACATACACACTGTATGAGATTCATTAATTGTTTATTAGAATATTGTGGTGGTTCTAAACTCTTTTGTTCCATTATCCATTCTTCTAACTGTTCATTCGAGAAATAGTAGGCTTTAATGAATATATCAACATATTGACGATATTCAACATATTTTTGATTCGAAATTAATTCGAGTATTGACATAAAATTAGTGAAATCTAGTTGCATGAGAGCCCTACCACCGGCCGAACATTTTTTGACATTTGAGAAACTGGGAAAAGATAAGAAAATAATATTTTTTTAGAATTCTGAACAACTTTATAACTTATTTCTAAATCAATCCTTAATTTTTTCTTTTTATTTCTTTTCTTTTCCCTTGTTACTTACCCTTCCACCAAAAGATGTGTGGCTACATGAGCCATTGACTGCCATACAGGTTCGGCTGGTATGGTAATATCTTTAGCAATTTCCTCCAAACGCATGGCAAAATTTTGTATGTTCTAGAATACAGAATTAAAATTAATGTATCATACATAATTATAAATCCAAATTACACTCACCCTATTCATTATATCAATATAGGCATTATGTTGAAAACTAACATGATTAACATCCCATTTAACTTTAGCTATCATGGCCAGAATAGCAGTTAAATCGAAAATTCTTGAAGTAACGCATGTATAAACCGGTCGGGCAACATCAGACATAAAATCGATATAATCAAAGTAAGAACTAAGCAGTAGTCTGTCCTGTACCGGCAACAAATGATTTAAATAGTTGTGTAATATTTGGAATTGTTGTGTCATACAGTGGCCACTTTCTACGGCCACAATACGATGGAAGAGCCCGTAGAGTGTATCGGGATTAGCGAGTTCATTGTTGATCTGAAAAAGCAAATAAAATTAATCTTCTTGTGTAAATTATAGATTCAGTTGTAGTGCATTTCTAGTTTCAGTTCTAGTTCCAGTTCAGTTCTAGTTCAGTTCTAGTTCAGTTCTAGTTCAGTTCTAGTTCAGTTCTAGTTCAGTTCTAGTTCAGTTCTAGTTCAGTTCTAGTTCAGTTCTAGTTCAGTTCTAGTTCAGTTCTAGTTCAGTTCTAGTTCAGTTCTAGTTCAGTTCTAGATCAGTTCTAGTTCAGTTCAAGTTCAGTTCTAGTTCAGTTCTAGTTCAGTTCTAGGTCAGTTCTAGTTCAGTTCTAGTTCAGTTCTAGTTCAGTTCTAGTTCAGTTCTAGTTCAGTTCTAGTTCAGTTCTAGTTCAGTTCTAGTTCAGTTCTAGTTCAGTTCTAGTTCAGTTCTAGTTCAGTTCTAGTTCAGTTCTAGTTCTAGTTCTAGTTCAGTTCTAGTTCAGTTCTAGTTCAGTTCTAGTTCAGTTCTAGTTCATTCTAGTTCAGTTCTAGTTCAGTTCTAGTTCAGTTCTAGTTCAGTTCTAGTTCAGTTCTAGTTCAGTTCTAGTTCAGTTCTAGTTCAGTTCTAGTTCAGTTCTAGTTCAGTTCTAGTTCAGTTCTAGTTCAGTTCTAGTTCAGTTCTAGTTCAGTTCTAGTTCAGTTCTAGTTCAGTTCTAGTTCAGTTCTAGTTCAGTTCTAGTTCAGTTCTAGTTCAGTTCTAGTTCAGTTCTAGTTCTAGTTCTAGTTCAGTTCTAGTTCAGTTAGTTCAGTTCTAGTTCAGTTCTAGTTCAGTTCTAGTTCAGTTCTAGTTCAGTTCTAGTTCAGTTCTAGTTCAGTTCTAGTTCAGTTCTAGTTCAGTTCTAGTTCAGTTCTAGTTCAGTTCTAGTTCAGTTCTAGTTCAGTTCTAGTTCAGTTCTAGTTCAGTTCTAGTTCAGTTCTAGTTCAGTTCTAGTTCAGTTCTAGTTCAGTTCTAGTTCAGTTCTAGTTCAGTTCTAGTTCAGTTCTAGTTCAGTTCTAGTTCAGTTCTAGTTCAGTTCTAGTTCAGTTCTAGTTCAGTTCTAGTTCAGTTCTAGTTCAGTTCTAGTTCAGTTCTAGTTCAGTTCTAGTTCAGTTCTAGTTCAGTTCTAGTTCAGTTCTAGTTCAGTTCTAGTTCAGTTCTAGTTCAGTTCTATTTCAGTTCAGTTCTAGTTCAGTTCTTGTTCAGTTCTAGTTCAGTTCTAGTTCAGTTCTAGTTCTAGTTCAATTTACTTACCAGTGACGTAAAATTTAAAGGCCAAATTTTTATATTTGGCAATATGTTTTGCTTAACATATTCCAGTTTCTGCTCCAATTTGTTAGAATAAAAATTGTCCATTTGTACGGGCTAAAAAATACAAATGAAATTTTAAATATAAAAGTTAATTTTCATTACTTATTAAAAATCCTTACCGCATCCTTGGCAAATATTTCATGCACAGCAAAGGCATAGAAATCCATTAACTCCAACATGCTGGCTATAATTTTAGGTGAAATACAATGTAGAAGTTTGCACATTTGTAAATAACGTCCTATACAGCGAAACACATTCAAAGTGGTGTTATTAACCAGTAGTTGTTGATTGGGTGAGGTTTCATCATAGTCCTTGCTTTGTAAACTCTTATGATCATCATCACTTTCCTCTTCGCTAAAATAACACGAAGCTTCATCAACAATACCCGATAATATGTCTTCCTCTAGCATGGCCACATCTAGGCCACCATCAAAGGGAGAGCTTTTTTCACTGAAACGTAGAAAATAACCATAGGAACCATAAATGGAACTGCCACCGTCTTGAGAATGAACTGAGACTAATTCATCACAGTTATTGTTGCTAGTAGGAGAATTATTGGCGGAAGTAGAGCTGGTAACCAACAAGGCAATAGGAGGAGATTTATGGCGACGTAAGGTATGACGTATAGAGCGAAATTCCTGCAAGAAATAAACAAAAAATTAATAAACAATTACATTGGGGAAAAGAAAACCTCTTACCGGTAATTGTAATATATTAGCAAAAGAATCCACCACTGTCCATGACTCATTATCCAAAAATAAACATATCTCCTCCAAACAGGAACTGTGATAACGCTGAAAGAATTCCTCACTTTGCAACTGCATAGTTTCTATCAATTTTTCCGAATGTTCACCACAAAACTCTAATCCCACTTTCTTAAGTCTTTGTATTATGGATAGGACTTGTATGAAATGATCATATTTTAACATTTTCAATTTGGAACTTTGTAAAAATATACAGATTTTTGTTAATATATCATTCCATATACGCGATTGACCTTTTTTCAATTTCTCCTGTATATAGACATCTGGTGAATCTGGCATATCGATAGCATATAGTTTATAGTTTTGATGCCATATTACAATTTGATAATAGGAAGCCAATATTGTCCAGAAAGTTTTACACAAACTTATTAAACATGGTATGTATTTGTCTGCTTCGACCTGTTCGCATAATTGTTCATATAACATTTTCATGTTTTCGTCTAAATTGGGATCATTATAGCCACGTAAAACGGAGTTCACCGAGGAATGTATGGCGGATATAAAGTTTATGTGAAGCTGTTAAAAGATATTTGGTTAAAATGTCTTAAATTCTTTATGCCAAAACTTTTACCTGATCCATTGCTATTAAGGATTTATTGAGCAATTTATAGGCTTCTTGCAATTTAGCATATTTGCGCATATCAAAATTTAAAATCATCTACAGGAATAACAAATTAGTTTGTATTTTTGTCTTTAAACTAAAAGTAGTTACCTCATTTAAAACTGTGTCTAGTTGGAATTCTGTTAACAGCAACGTCTCCTGTAATTTTTTATTTAAAGATTGTACACAATTGTATTGCATGAATTCGCTGGCGGAATCTTTACAGGTTAAAAGAAGCGAAATGGCTCCAGAATAATTGCATTCACTTAAAAGCTTTTGTACCTCAACATCAGTTGATTTCTTCAAAGAAATACAGTTTTTTGTAAAATATGATTGAAAGCTTTATTAAAAAAGGTTTTTATAAAATATTTTTCACCAAATATTTTTTCACTAGTTCAGTTGTTGTTTAATTCTTGTTCAGTTCTAGTTCAGTTGTAGTGCAGTTGTAGTTCAGTTGTAGTTCAGTTGTAGTTCAGTTGTAGTTCAGTTCTAGTTCAGTTGAAGTTCAGTTCAAGTTCAGTTCTAGTTCAGTTCTAGTTCAGTTCTAGTTCAGTTCTAGTTCAGTTCTAGTTCAGTTCTAGTTCAGTTTTAGTTCAGTTTTAGTTCAGTTCTAGTTCAGTTCTAGTTCAGTTCTAGTTCAGTTCTAGTTCAGTTCTAGTTCAGTTCTAGTTCAGTTCTAGTTCAGTTCTAGTTCAGTTCTAGTTCAGTTCTAGTTCAGTTCTAGTTCAGTTCTAGTTCAGTTCTAGTTCAGTTCTAGTTCAGTTTTAGTTCAGTTCTAGTTCTAGTTCAGTTCTAGTTCAGTTCTAGTTCAGTTCTAGTTCAGTTCTAGTTCAGTTCTAGTTCAGTTCTAGTTCAGTTCTAGTTCAGTTCTAGTTCAGTTCTAGTTCAGTTCTAGTTCAGTTCTAGTTCAGTTCTAGTTCAGTTCTAGTTCAGTTCTAGTTCAGTTCTAGTTCAGTTCTAGTTCAGTTCTAGTTCAGTTCTAGTTCAGTTCTAGTTCAGTTCTAGTTCAGTTCTAGTTCAGTTCTAGTTCAGTTCTAGTTCAGTTCTAGTTCAGTTCTAGTTCAGTTCTAGTTCAGTTCTAGTTCAGTTCTAGTTCAGTTCTAGTTCAGTTCTAGTTCAGTTCTAGTTCAGTTCTAGTTCAGTTCTAGTTCAGTTCTAGTTCAGTTCTAGTTCAGTTCTAGTTCAGTTCTAGTTCAGTTCTAGTTCAGTTCTAGTTCAGTTCTAGTTCAGTTCTAGTTCAGTTCTAGTTCAGTTCTAGTTCAGTTCTAGTTCAGTTCTAGTTCAGTTCTAGTTCAGTTCTAGTTCAGTTCTAGTTCAGTTCTAGTTCAGTTTCTAGTTCAGTTCTAGTTCAGTTTCTAGTTCAGTTCTCTAGTTCAGTTCTAGTTCTAGTTCAGTTCTAGTTCAGTTCTAGTTCAGTTCTAGTTCAGTTCTAGTTAGTTAGTTCAGTTCTAGTTCAGTTCTAGTTTCATTCTAGTTGGGAGTTCCTAGTATTCTAGTTCTGTTCAGTTCTAGTTCAGTTCTAGTTCAGTTTTCTAGTTCAGTTCTAGTTTCGTTCTATTTCGTTCTAGTTCAGTTCTAGTTCAGTTCTAGTTCAGTTCTAGTTTCAGTTCTAGTTCAGTTCTAGTTCAGTTCTAGTTCAGTTCTAGTTCAGTTCTAGTTCAGTTCTAGTTCAGTTCTAGTTCAGTTAGTTCAGTTCTAGTTTCAGTTCTAGTTCAGTTCTAGTTCAGTTCTAGTTCAGTTCTAGTTCAGTTCTAGTTAAGTTCTAGTTCAGTTCTAGTTCAGTTCTAGTTCAGTTTCTAGTTCAGTTCTAGTTCAGTTCTAGTTCAGTTCTAGTTAAGTTCTAGTTCAGTTCTAGTTCAGTTCTAGTTCAGTTCTAGTTCAGTTCTTGTTCAGTACTAGTTCAGTTCTATAATTTTGAATTTTTGGTATTAGAGAAGTTGTACTATTGATTTGCTTAAAAATATGCAAAAATGTCCATACTCACCAATTTCTTTATAGCCTGCAAAGTATTCAACAACTCCTTTAAAATCTCACGCTTACGATACGAGGCCAATATCTCCAGACTGGTGGTAGTCAAATTTTGTTTGGCATAATTTAAGTACGAACGAGCTTTGCGACAGGTCCACAAAGATTCTTCCAATTCCTTTTGCGTTTCATTGATGGCAGCAAACTCAATATTACAGGCACTACGCTGTTCCAAAATGTTTTGTAAAACCTGTTTTGATAAAACCTTATGTTGGGTACGCAACTGAACCATGGTCGTTTCAATTAGCTCATAATCAACACCAGAGCTTAAAACTTTCTGTATAAACAAAAACATAAAGAGAAAAAAACAATGATGAAATACATTCAACTAAAAGTAATAAAAAAACAATTGCATTTTATAAAACAGGTTTCAATGCATTCTCGAAACAAATAATTATGTACTTAGTTGGCTACGTCACAAACATACACACAAATCTAAACAACGACTAACACTTTCCCCTCAAACTTTCCCACCCACTCTCACACATTTTATGCTTTCTCGACTTACCTGTAATTCATACATTTGTGCATTACTTTCTGGTTGAAAATAGATTCCTTCTATACTTTCTAATATTTCCTGATCAGATTTTTGTGCTCCCTCTGCGCTGCCATCTGTTTCATCTGTCTTATCGGGGGATTTCTTTGATGATTCTACTTTGTTTGGCTCTGCTGCAGTGACTGTTTGTATAAAGTAGTCTGAAAATCCCATGGCTGGTATTTTCAATTGCCGATTGGTCTGTTCCGCAAATAGTTATAGTATTTTAATGAATTTGATGGAAAAACTTATTAATTATTTACCTGTTTGTGTAACAAATCCATAAATTTTGTTTTAAACTCGTCCATTTTTGCCATTGAGTTCTGCATCTTTTTTTTGTCTGTTTTGTGAGAAGAAAATTGGTTGACAGACAAAGTAGTGATGACAGAGGGAAGCGATAACAGTATTGTTTAATTAGGGAAGGTAGTTTAAGTTAGAATTTGACTGAAGGCAAATGTAGCGATTTTTTTTGAAAATCAAAACAATAACTATACACAACTCTTAAATTTTGTGATATATCTTTAAAATTGGTAATAATTCCGTTTTTTTTCTTCAATAATTTAATTTCTATTTATAATTTTGTATATTTTTTTCTTTTTTAATTTTACCATAGTTTTCTCTTTTAAAACAACCCTGTTTTTTTCAAACTATCGATAAGAGATTATCATCTCTAGCCCAGCTGATGGCTTTGACAGCTAAAAGAAAATTTTCTAAGTAAACAAATAATTTTTTTTCTCCACAAGCAATGCGAATATGGTAAGAATTGCTAAAAATAAACAATAATTAAAGAATAAAATAATAAATAAAAATGTATCTTTAGCATGGCCTCAGACTTTTTCTATCCCAGCATAGGCGGAGTAGAAGAGCATATATTCAATTTATCTCAGATTTTACTAAAAAGGGGACACAAGGTTTTTTCTTTAACAATTTGTTAAAAATTCGTTTTAAATCAATAAATGATTCCTTTACTTTTAGGTAATAATATTGACTCATTGCTATGGTGATTGTAAGGGCATACGCTATTTGACCAATGGTCTAAAGGTCTATTATCTGCCAATAAAAGTTTTCTATGCTCAATCGATATTGCCCACAATTATTTGTAATGCTCCGCTGATAAGAAGTGTTTTAATTCGAGAACAAATTGAAGTTGTTCATGGTCATTCGGCGTTTAGTGCTTTGGGTCATGAGGCCATGACAATAGCATCCTTAATGGGTTTAAAGGTGGGTGTATGAGAGTGTTTAGAATTTGTATGCTTTATTTTTGTTTTTTTCCTTTGCAGACTGTTTTCACTGATCACAGTTTATTTGGTTTTGCGGATTTATCAGCGGTGTTCACCAATAAAATGTTGGAAATTGATTTGACTTGTGTAAATCATTGTATATGTGTTTCCCATATAGGTAAGAAAATAACAACGAATGGGCGGGTAGATGGATAGTTAGTAATTTTTTAATATGTCTCTCTAGGCAAAGAAAATACTGTATTAAGAGCTCGTGTTCCCAAAGAAAAAGTTTCTGTGATACCAAATGCTGTTGATACTGCCCTATTTACACCAGATCCTAGCCAAAGACCAACTGATGGTACAAGTAAGTATTAAATCAGCTGCCAACGAACCCATTTTACAAAAATCTTTTTAACAGTTTTTAAAAGAACATAAAATCCCAGTTCGATTGTAAAGTCTGAGAAATAATCGCAAAATTAGTCCTAAATGAGCCCTTACTAACTTTTTCTTATTCCTTCTTTCCAGTCAATATCGTTGTTGCTTCCCGTTTAGTTTATCGCAAAGGTATCGATCTCTTAGCCAACATAATACCACGCTTCAAATCTATGCCACATATAAAATTCATTATAGTAGGAGATGGTCTGAAACGAGAATTGTTAGAGGAAATACGTGAAAAAGCCAATATGCAAGATCGTGTCGAAATGATTGGTGCTGTCGATCATTCAAGAGTACGTGATTATCTGGTTCAAGGTCATATATTTGTGAATACCTCTTTAACGGAGGCCTACTGTATGGCTATTGTGGAGGCTGCCTCTTGTGGTTTGCAAGTGGTATCGACTCGTGTTGGTGGTATACCAGAGGTATTGCCGGAAAGTCTTATTATTCTAACAGAACCAGAAAGTGATTCAATTTATGAGGGTGTTTTGAAAGCCATAAAACGTTTAATGGTTTATCAACAACAAAATTGTGCCATAAATAATAGAAATTTAAATTGTGTCAAATACAGTTGTAATGATCGAGCTTGCGGGGAGAATGGTGCTATCGAAAATGGTAGCACACAAAATGGCAAATATGCGCGTAAAAAACCTAAAAGAAATAATTCCAATTCAAACAAAAAGGAGCAGAAACGCAATTCTTCTTTTAATACTAGTGATTCTCCTGATTTGGATGACTCTAAAGCGGTTCTTTGTCCCTATAAATGCAATGAAATTGTTGCCTCTCTTTACAATTGGAATAATGTTACTCAACGTACGGAGAAAGTGTATGAACAAGTCATGCAAGAGCCTATCCGCAGTTTTGGTGAAATTTTACATTCCTATCTGAATGCCAATGTTTGGTCTATGCTTTTAGCCATTTCCATGTTACATTTAATATTGAGATTTTTGGAATATATTCGTCCCGCCCGTTATACGGAAAAAGCTAAAGATCTTCCAAGTTATTATAAAAATTAAAAACCTTTAAAATTAAGTGTTTTTTAATAGAAAAATTTTGTTTACTTGTGTATTTGTTGGTCTTTATGTTTGAAGCTATTTCTTTTAAATTAATTAAAGGTTATTAAGTTTAATATCTAAGGATTATTTTAAAAAGTAATTTTTTATTTGTGTAATGCATTTAGTATTTAATTTAAAGCAATTTATACCAAATAGTAATTAAATTTTAGAAAATAAATGAATATGACGATATTTAGTAGCTTTTTAAGAAATTTTGTTTAATATTTAAAAAAAAATGCCAGTTTAGGGATCTTTTTGATTAAAAATGTGCAAAGGATCGATTTTGTTCTAATTCAGTCCTATTTCAGTTGTTGTTTAATTCTAGTTCAGTTCCAGCTTTTTTTGCTCCTCTTTATAACAAGTCTAGGGTTATTTGAGAGATCATCTACATTTCAAGCTTAATAGCCTCATTTCAAGAGCCTTTAAGGGAATAAGCTGCTGTTTTCAACACTTCCGGCCTCATCCGAGTAGTGGTTTCTGACATCTACTGACTCTTTTCCTGATACCTGCAGTCTATGTACGATCCTTTTTTTGTTAATTGTTTATTTATTATTTTATTATGTTGCCGTTACTAAATCCAAAAATAAATGTTTATGTTTATGTTTGTTTACGATAACTATCACTGACTGAGCAAACACACATCTCTAATAACATAACGATAAATAATAGCTACTGACACTTTTTGACAACCATCCCTAGAACACATAAGAAATAGACAGCTGTTTTCAGCTGTCACCATAGAATTTATTATGAAAAGCAAAAAAACAAAAACTCGAGTAATATTCGCCGTAAAAGTGAACAACATAATCAGCAATTCCTAAAACGAAATAGAAAAAAAAATAATAAAGAAAAAAACCTAAAGAAAAAATAAAAATAACTTAAAAGACAAGTTTGTGTAATTATAAAAAAGGAGAAAAACATAAATTTATAAATAAAAAACATAAAACAACAGCCACAACAACATGGATCTATTAGGTTCAATACTTAATGCCATGGACAAACCTCCAACTGCCAATGAGGAACAAAAGAAATTGATCAAACGACAAAAGGAAATGGCAGAACGTTTGAAAAACAAACAGAAAGAAGAACTACTGAGATTTCGCAAATATGTGGAAGAACGAATAGGGCGCTTTGCCAAGGATGATCGTCATCACATAGAATTTCAGCCCTTAGATAAGGTACATCGTGCTGTCATACATGAGGTAGCCGAATATGGCGGTTTCATATGTATGAGTTTTGGCTGTGAAGATATCGATCGCTATTCGGTGGTGTATAAGAAAGAAAATGCGCCCACAGAAGATGAAATAGCCGCCAGGCGTAATGGTGATGGTTGGAATGATGAAGTGGCCAAGGAATATGCCGAGAGGCGTATTAAACAAAAAGAATTGGAATTGGAACAAAAACGATTGGCTCGTGCTTCCGCTAACGCAGCAAATGCCGCCCCAGCCACAACTTCCACTTCAAGCAATAACAAACAATCAAACCAATCCTCAACACAAGCACAGGAAACAGAGATTAAGCCAACATTTAATTATAAGGATAAATATGCTCATTTGATTGGTCAGGAGGCTGCTTTAGAGGCGGCACGTAAAACTGAAACAAATGTAAGTTATGGTTTTGTACCCAGTAAAAATAAAAAGGATATGCGCTCCATAGAACAAACCTTGGCCGATATACAGGCCAAAAAGAGGCTTAAGTTACAGTTACAACAAGAACAGCAGCAGCAGCAACAACAACAGCAGCAGCAACAAGAGCAAGCGGAAATACCAAATGGCGCTTCATCCGTTAATAACAATTCTAACATCACTATAACTACTCCTTCAAACGAGACATTACACTGATAATTTTAATTTGTTGTATATTTAACTATACTCTATTTGTAGTATATAGATTTTTTTTATTTTTAATTTTGTGAAGACTCCATCTACTTCCTATTATAACAAGAAATACGAAAAAAAGGCCATAATTAAACTTAATTTAGAAACAAACAAAAATACAAGAACAAAAAATTGGAGAAAAAAATATTAAGCAAAAGTGTGAGAGTGCAAGAGAAAAAGAGTGTGGGAGAGAGAGAAGAAAATATAATTATTGTTTTTACACCATTTTCAAGGGCAGTGGAGTTTAAAAAAAGAAACTTTTATTAGTGATCATAAAGTGTCCCATAATAGGCTTTTTTAATAGGTACAGTGGGACCTCGATTTTCCGTGATGGTCGGGACCGGAAGCATTCTGTATAATCGATTTTCCCGGTTAATTGAGTGCCAATTTTGGCTAGTTTTTTAATAGATATTTTTAGTAATTAATAAATGAAAATGTATATTTATATAAAACCTAAATAATTCAAGGATTTTATATTCATACATGTTTCAAAAATATAAAAAAAAATAATTTTGTCAGAAAACAGTAGATTTGTTCTAATTGTACATGGTTGTTAAAAAATAGAATTTTGCTTATAATCACGTCAAGTCAATCCAAAATAAAATTAAGTCGATGCAAAAAGATTTATTTTTCCATCCCGGATAATTGATGTTGCCGGATAATCGAATCACGGTTAATCAAGATCCTACTGTATTTGAAGCAAACTGAACAGTAGAGGAACTTGAAATTCTTCTTTTTTGAAAACAGTGCCAGATCAGTCCGTAACTAATTTAGTTCTAGTTCAGCATTAGAACTAGTTTTAAATCTATCCTAGTTCTAGTTCAGATCTAGTTCAGTTCTAATTATGTTCTAGTTCTGTTATAAT